ATGGGGAGGGACATGGAGAAACGTGTCCTGCTTAACTGTTTGACCAAAGACAGCCCTGGAGTTATCACCATAGAGCAATCAGAGACCATGCTTATCATCATCCAAATTCTAGGTGGATGCCAGCAGAGAAGATGACGGCTGGGGACTGAGAATGGTACAGCCAGATAGTGTCTTTTACTCAGGGTTTTAGGGATGACTTTTGGGGCAAACCACTTAAGTGTTGCAAAGTCTCCAGAACATTTGAAACATATCTATTTTTCCATGTTTTAACTTTTTAACAATCTCTCACTCAAAATGTGTAAGAGACAATTAGCTCTACCCTCCTTCGTTGCTGTATGTTCTTTCTCCGCAGAACTCGGGATTTTTTTCAGGGGTTTGGAACTCTCCTAAGTCCTGCAGCAATGTCTCCGATGACCCCCCTCCGCCCCCAGCCCCCGCTACCCTGTTACACTCGAGCTGTTACACAGATGGAATTCTGTTCATTCATATTTTTACCCCTCCAGGTGTCTTAATAAAGCACTTTCATTGTAGTCTCTTTAATACTATACCTAATTTGCCAGAGTTTGGAAATTCTACATATACATATATAATATGCTATATATAATATGGTGTGTATGTTGTGTGTGTGTGTGTGTGTGTGTGTGTGTGTGTTCTTTCCCCCAATCTGATGTACCTACTATTCTGGTTGTTACTAAGGAAAGAGATCAAAACAGATCATTAAAATAAAAAGTCAGAATGGAATGAAATTATGTTTAAATCTTTTTGCGAGCTGCTACTTAGGAAGCAAGATGCTTTCTAAGATTCTTTTTTACATATATAATTTATATTGATATGTAATACATTAAATAAGAATCTGTGTTTCCTTCGAATGCCGTTATTTTAATATTTACATTGAAAGAATCAATTAAAGAGAATTGCTGTTTGATGACAAGGTAGGTAAGTTATGTTGGTTCGTATAGAACAATATTTTTTTAAAAAAATAAAACTATATCTGCATTGTAGTAATTTTCCAAGTTAGAGAGTCCACATTGTAATTAAAAATCACTCTAATCAAAATGATATCTCCTTGATTTATAATAATGTGCTGTATTTTTGTACTGCTTGTATGAAATTTCAGCAAGGTTGAAGATACCGTAGAATTAAGATACTTGTAAAGTGTAGGAGGAGATGTTAAACTGTGAATACAAAGTTTAACTTCTTTCCACAATAGTGATAAGAAAATATATTTGAAAAATATAAAATGATATAAACATGTACTATCATTATTTTATTATCATCATTAGTTTGGCCACTATTAGAATGTAGTATATAGAAAATGTTGATCTTTCTTCATGCTTTTGCATAAATTTAGTATATATTATTTTCATTGGTCTGTTCATTGGAATTATTCTAAGCCAGGTCTCGAGGCATGTATACATTTATCTGAAAAGTAAAAATGTGTTTTTTTAATATTTTTTCTATTGCTAGGATCCAACAGGCAGAATTGTGACTTCTATGATAACTGCAGTGTTTTTAAAGGAAATTTTATAAATCTTCGAGGTCGGTTTACATATTATATTTTTCCAGGTTTAAAGCACTAACTATGTTGTAAGGTGGTGTGAGACGTAAACGGGGAGTATGGGTGGTAAATGTCTGGAATAATCCCCACTTACTGCCTATTGTCCCTGTTTAAGTGATGTTATACAGTTACCCTCTTTAGAACATATTTTCCAGGTTTATGTGTAAGTTCAGACTCTCCAGTTTTGTAGGGCATGCAAATGTTTGCCTCAATGTACTGTATTCTGTTGCTTGAATGAATAAAATCTGGTACTCCACGATTATTAGTTTCATTTGCCATTAAAAAATATTAGGTGAGAATTTCTATAGAATTATATTAACATGTAGAATTAAATGCAGAAGAAAATTCCAACCACTGACACCTTGTACGATGTGCCACTTGGTGCATTTTATAAGTATATGTACTTCAAAGAGTCAAATTGCTTTACAGGGTTTTCTGCAAAGAGTCAAATTGCTTTACAGGGTTTTCTGCAGAAACTAGCTCCCTACCCATCCCATTTCCCCTCCACTGAGATAAAAAATTTCACTTCTTCTAACTGATTATTTTATTTCTTCTACTTTTCTGAATAGCATGCTCATACCACTACTGGATTTTTTTTTTCATTTTACACATTCTTTATTAATTTACTGATGTCGTCTTCCCAACAAACTCACCACACGTGAATACCTTTTTCATGTGTCCATCCTTCCAGAATATTTGTATTAAAATTTGATTATTTCAATATTTAGTGTTCGTTTTTTTCTTATCTCATTAACACTCTCCTCGGTTGAATCGCATGGTAAAATAATTGTGCTTTCTCTCCTACGTAACTTTTTCCCACCTAGAGCTAATAATTGTCTCTCTTTAGCTTACTAGTTTGGTATTTACCATAAATTTATCTCAAACTCTTCACAGTGGTCTAGATGATCTCTCCAGAGCCTCTGTAATGCAGCAGATATCTCAACAATCTCGTCTTTCCAAAAAAAAAGTTACCCTGGAGCTTTGACTTGAACCAATTAGCAGCTGTTCTCTGTGCACAACTGTCATTCTGATGTGTCCCTTCATCCAGAAAAAAAAGGAGAGAGGAACGTAAAACTTGGACCCGATTCTAGAAAATCTCGCACTACAAAAGGATGCGAGGTTGCAGATTGCATGTATTTAACCAGTGTCTGGAAGAAGGAACGATAAGAAGCCTGTGACATTTGGGTTTGTGGCGGTAAACGTTTGTGTGTGGGGGGTATTGGTTGGAAGCCTTGGAAGCCGATGCTATGTTATAAAAGCCAGTCGATTTCTTTGCATAATATGAGCTACTCATAGCGGCGACGCAACAAGCTTGGACCACAGGATGACAGCGTGGCGACTCAGGTGGTTTCCTCCGCAGGCAGCGCAGCTCCCGCTTGGAGCTGAGCTGCTCCGGCTCCGCGATTCGCTGAAAACCGGAACGATGTCACTAGTCAACACGTGGGTGAGATTGGAACCCACCTTTTATTTGCCTCACTTGTTCCAGAATCAGTGCCCCTTCCAGGTGTCAGTGGGACGGTGTCTGTCCCTTCAGCATCCACAGTAGCAGGTGGAATATAACTTACTTCTAAATAACACATACAAAGAATCCCTCCAATGGAGCTGAGGAATGTCTGGCACTCTCCGCACTCGGTGGCCATTTTCTTAATGGCAAGGCTTTATATATAAATTCAGGACCTTATGTAAGACCTGAATGTGTTACAGGGGTATCCAAAGACATCCAAGGTTGTTTTAAATAAAGACACGTATAAATAAATGCAAGTCAGTATCCCATCGCCACTTTCAGTTAGGAGTCTTAGAATAAGGGCCAAAAGTTCATTTTTAACACTGCGACTGAGACTAGATTTGGATACTAGCATTCGCCAACTAATAGATTTTGTCTTTCTTCTAGACTTCAACTTTACCCATTTATTTATTTTTAAAACTGCAACTTTTGTCTAGACAGATAGAGCTTTACACAAAGTATCAGTTTCTTTGTAACAGATTGCCTCTGAAATTCCAAGTAAGACGTTCACCTTTGTCCATTTTTTAAATGCAAAACCGCCAACTAAAATGCCACAAAGTTATACTGAGATGCATTTGACCTGTAGAAACAAACGCCATTAAAGGAAGAAAACGGTAGGCAGCCAATGTCCGTCTTCCGCATGGGCTCAGATGAGCAAAGGCCCTTTTTAAACTAAGTTCTCACAAGTTTAAAATATCAAGCAACAATTCTTCAAATCCCCGAAGAGTGATGCCAAACCATATTTGTAAGACATGAAACTTGAGGATCTCCGATGACTCCCTCCAGTCTTCAAAATTTAAATAAAATTATTTTTGTATTTTCTTGGAAATTCATTCTTAAGATGATCCCCTTCTCACTCATTAACTTATTCATTACAATCCTTATCCTACGTGTTCAAAAATACTTCTCGTGAATAAGACCATTGTTCTTTAATCAGCTGACCAGGTAAGACTCTGAGCTCTCCCATTTACTCTCAACATTATTACAATCTCTTACTGCAGCTCTCCATGTGGCTTCGGTTGAGCTGATTTATCTCACTTTTTTTATTTCATCATATGAAGAGCATCAGAAGCAAATTTTAATTTTTTTTAGCTCGCATAAATGTACAGAGAAATATAATGTCTCAGTAGCTTCTAGAAATGTAGATAACTCTTCTAGCCTTTCTATAATTTTGCATGTCTGATCATTATTCCAATCGTTATTGCAGAGCTAGCTATTATCAACTGTGGCTACTGACAAAATATATCATGATGTGTTTCTATTGCGTACTATAACTTTGGAAGCAATTTCTCATACTCTTCCATTTGATTCTTAAAACAACTCTAAGATGTAGGCAAGATAAACATCATTATCCCAATTGACAATTGCGGCAAAATAGAGCCAGGTATTTTTATGGTATATGAAAATTGGGCACAAATAGAGAATGCGATCTGAAGCTCGGGATGAGTTCGTACTGTCTCCCTACTACGCTCAGACCAACATCAGGCTTTGGGAAATTTTTAGTCCACAATGAAGCAGAAGGTAATACATTCTATCTCAAGCCGCAAAATGACAACGACACGTCAAGTTAATCAGCAGAAACGAAGCCAGAGGCACTGACGGGACCATCCACCCGTCACAGAACACAGTCTGAGGCACCCGAGTTAATAACCGTTTTCTGGATTCTGCTAAAGTGGAATAAAATACGAGCCACGAGGAAGGGTTTCCTTGGTCACAGGTTTTCAGCCTTCGTTTATTTTCAGGTCCAGTTGCGCGAAGGGTAAATGTGAATTGGGA